GTGTTTGTCCATAGCTGCAACACATTTTACATGGGTCATTTGTACAGCAAAATAAAAATATCTCCCATGTATTTCATGTTGGTTGTGATTTTTTTAAGACCAGATTTTAATGTAGAATATTAACTACTTGCAGACTAGTGTTCTGAAATTTCCAACATGTCCTTGTTTTTCTTTTTGTACCTGATTTTCTTGACTTTTAGGTGACGCAGTGGCACAGGCTCATCATGACTTCTTGGTCGCTTGGTCCATAGGGATGGGCCATCAGTGACGCTCTTTTTCTCAAAAGCTTCAATGTCAAAAAGTGTTGCTGCTATATGTCTGCAGGCTCCATCAGATCTGAAATATATTGAAAAATACATGTACACTATTTGTTTCCAAGACAAAGGGTTATTATAACAAACATTGTACATGTAACATTATACATGAGCAACATCAATAACTGCTTTCACAGTATTATGAATAGGTCTACATGGATATTAGAAATGTATAAATATTGGCTAAGATCCACTGAAACATTATGGAGTTTGGAACTGGTTGTTTTCTCTTTAATTCAAGCATCATTACGAGCTTTAGACCTTTTCAATGTATAATGCCAGCTAGCTCACTTTACCCTCCTGGACACTGACAGTAAGCGCTCTTAATGTCAACATTATTTTTTTCCACAGCAATCCATAGGTTGTAGAACTCGGACTTTAGGTAGGTCTTGTCCCGTTGTGTTGGCTTCACAGACGCTTTAAAAATTCCAATTGTGTCAGTAGCATCAGCATACTCCACACTGTTGACATGCCCATCAGCAAACAAGCGATAGTCTTGAAAAGACTTGTAGGCGCGAAGCTTCCTTCTGTCATAATCGGGCCTGAACGACACCAAGTAATTAAATACGTCATATATTCCAATTTCCGGACATTGTGACAAATTGTTTGAGTAGCCTTGTAACAGGAATGGGTCACAGTTAATGTTCAGGTGTGAGAGTGTTTGGGGTGTGTAGCTTACATCGGAAACATCCTGGAAGACGGGCAAATCCAAGCTGGCAACACACTCGCACAAAGTGATCAATTCGCGACGAATGTAGCCTGTAAATGTCACACCACGGTCTTTCAAATACATCTTCAACTGTGGAACAGTCTTGGATAGGAACATACTTGATATTTTCTTCAAATAGTGATCGTAGACCAAAAGTAAACAATATCGTCTGTAGACAGAAACGGCACGTCAACCTTGTTTACGTGTTGTCATGCCCGCGGTCACGTGTCACAGTGGGCAGATAACTCTAAACGGCAAAACTGGAAAATGGCTTATTATGAAAGCGCATTCTGTCCCTCAAGCACTCCGTTTGTCCAATGTATTCTTCATGACACCCTTGGCATATAATAACATAAATAATATGTTTTGCGGAGCAGTCCATGTTAGAGCGTACATGAAATAATTGTTTCCTGTTTTAAACTTTATACATGAAGTTTCAAGTAGCATATTCACAAGTTCCACAATTTCCCCGTTTACATTTTGAGACTGCACTGAATTCTGTAGGTTTAATGCATGGAGTCGAGATGTGGCACGTGTCAATATGTGTTTTAAGAGAAGTTACGGCTTTGGCGTTTACTCTTTATCATTGTTACATGAGCCATAATTCGATTCATTTTCATATCAGCATTTAAAATTGGAACATTTTGTCTTATGATATGAAAAAAGTTCCGAATTCTTGTAGGTTGTGCGTTGAAACATAGGCCAGATTGACAGTGTTATTTTTTTGTTTATCACGAACTTTTCAACAGTGTCCTTCTGTCTATGTTTATTGCTTTCTTTATTCCATCTTCCACAAGAAGAACTGGGTATCCACGGGACTGTAGATATGATTTTAGTTCTGCAAGTCGTATGTTCCTTATTGTCGGTATTTGTGACACAATCATGCAGATACGTCTTGCTAAGTTATAGGAATGCTTCTCTTTATATGACTCTGGGTGGCAAGATGAAAAATGAAGGTATTGTTTAGTATCTGTAGGTTTATAATATATATCTGTTTCTAGATTACGTCCCACATAGTTTTACCATGATGTCCAAAATGGAATTTCAGAATAATTTGAGTCCATGGTGAAATGTAAATGTTTGTTCAATTTATTTAGGATGTTATAAAACAGAGTTAATTTTTCATCTCCAAAGGGCCATAACATGAAGCAATCGAAGTCAAGAAAACGTCGCCAATTTGTTCTAAAAGTATTCAGCGACTTCAGGTCCTAACTGTTCTTTCACTTTCGTTTCCAGAGTTTGATTTCCAAATAACCTAAAACTAACGTAGCATACGTGGGTGCCATTTTGGTTCCATTGCTGTACCCTTCATTGTCTATAATGTTCCCCATCAAAATTAAATGTATTATTATTCAATATGGAATGTAACACTTTCTATGACGAATTCCTTGGAGAATCGTGTTGGGAGTAATGCTGGATATTCGTGTAACCAGAATGATATAGCTTCAATCCCTAAATTGTGTGGAATATTAGAGTATAAATTTTTTACATCAAACGTAACTAGTTTGGTTTTTTCTTGAGTTTGTTGAGGTAAATAGTTTAGGAAATCCATCGTATCTCTAGTATAACTGTGCACTTTGGTAATAAAAGGTTTAAGCACTATGTCAATAAAATTACTCAACCGATGTGTAGCACAACTAGGTCCTGCAATTATCGGCCTATGTTTACGCAATGCAAGGAGGGAAAATGTACAAAGATAACAATATAATTACGTAGCTGACAATATAATCACGAAGCCAATAAGATTACGAAGCCAATAAGGTTGGATTAATGCATAAAGAAAACAATGTATTGTGTACACAAATCCAAGAGTGGGGGTGGAGTGATGTACAAGAATAACAACATAATAGGAAACCAATTGGATAGGATTAAAGATAACAATGAACGGATGAAGCCAGGAGATCATAGGACAACAGAGTATACACTGGGAAGGTAAATGCCTTGGTCCCGGTTAATGGCTGGCTTCTTTCTCTGGATCTCAATGCTGTCTTGAAGTTTCCACTTCTTCCAGTGGTTGATGTTGGTGTGTAGAATCTGGGTTTGTTGCCAAGAAATATGGTGCTCGGGACATGACCAACTTTGAAGAAGCCGCTTTAATGCTGTCCCCCTGCCAGCCCCTATGCTGGTACAGAAAAGTTTATGACACATTCACCATCCTAGACAAAGACCAGGACTACGTAATTATATTGTTATCTTTGTACATTTTCCCTCCTTGCATTTGTAAACATGTTTTATCTATATATATTCACTCTTTGTACTGACTCAGTATTCACCTGATGAAGGAGCAAAAATTAGCTCTGAAACGTCGTGTAAAGAATAAAAAGAATTTGTTATCCATACAAGTGTCATGTATTCAGATTATTTATTCATTGACACACTGATAAAATATCAATAATAAAACACCAATATCCCTAACTTATTTTGTCCAGTATAGTTGCTAAATATATTTAGCTTAAGACTTTCTTTATATAATTTTGGTCATGTGACAACGACTGTATACCTTACAGTACAATTGTACCATGGTCCATGTGGCCTAAAATACGGAATAACCTTGACTTGCATGCAAATAGATAAACGGAGCGAAGATGAATATCTGGTGGGAACCATCCAAAAAACAAGCAAAGGCAAGTCAATGTTTCCCCAACAAACATGGGAATACACTGTACAAATAAAAAATTGAGAACGTCTGTTACGACGTAAATTGTAAAATATGCCGCAGTTCTTATCACAATTTACCGCAGTTTATTACGTGTTACCGCGTTATTACAATTTACGTCATGTTACCATTACGTACCATTATGAGATCCGCGGCCGAGTCTTGCTGAACCTTCCACGTATGAAAATTTGTACGTCAGATGGTTGACTTGTGGTCATGTGGTTTAAAATTGTTATACCCCCTACCTATCAAGGACTAAGTACATAGTTATACCAAATAACTCCGTCCGTCCGAATTTTGTACAGCCAGTCGTTTGAGGAAAACCTTCTTTGTCTAAAGGTGAAGTGCAGTAAAATGTTTGATTATGTTATTTTACCTGGGGCAGACAATCCAGTGCTTGACATCAATCTATGCATTTGGGTGATGAAGTGGCAACCTTGGGCTGATCTGCTCTGAATCAGTTCACTTCCGGCACTAAGTTCTCGTGGTCTGATCTCAGACACATTGTGACTGATTATTGGCAAAACCGCTGTAACACCAAGGTATTATCAAATAGGTTCAAAGCCAGCCAGCCAATGATTAAAGGTTGCACCAAGATCGGGTGATCAGGCTTGCCGACTTGGTTTATACATATAACCGTATCTCAGTTGCTTAGATCGATGTTTATGATGTTGATCACTGGATTGTCTGGTCAAGATTTTATCATTTACGCAGTGCTTCCATATAGCTGGAATATTGCTGAGTGTGGAGTTAAACAAACAAACATGTATGTTATCGTTAAGCATTGATTTAAACAATATTTTATTTCCATTAATGTTTACATTTTTCATTATACACGACATAACAAAATGGAAATAGGATTAGCAAACAGGCCATATGGCCTATGTCAATGCTTCTCCGCATATAGTTCGTTATATCTTGACATAATTCTATGGAGCAGACATTAGGACATTAATGAATGAATCAAAACATAATAAAAATAAAGAAAAGAAAAGAAAGAATAAAGAACAAGATACCAAGTGCATTTTATGTTTATAGGTTTTTACTTGAATTCCGTAAAGCGGTTAATTTCAGTTATGTAATTCTGAACCGATTTTATAAGGTTTTCATTGTCTAAAGGAGATGAATCGTCATTGCCATGAAGTATAGTATATACGCTGAGGGTAATCGTTAAGCATAAGTGAATGAATAAAAGTGCTGCATGCATTAGTGCATGAAAGTGTACACAAAGTGTAGAATCTGTGTTCTTATTGTTCCATCACATTAAATTCACAGAGGGTGGCACCTGGATCAAGTATTTCCTTTTCGAGTATCAGGAGTTCTTTACAACAAAGTCGTAAATATACAAACAGATGAAATCATGCTGTATTAATGTATTTGATAATAGTGATGCGTTCGTATTTTCAGACACTAACATTTGCAGTTATTTCATCGATGGGTCGGATGCTGTTAAGGAAGGGCAGTGGGTATTTCATGATGGCCGGGATGTGACGTACAAGCCCTGGGCTCCGGGGATTCCCAAAAATGAAACAGGCAGAAATTACATTGTGGCTAGGAAGCATGAAAACTTTCGATGGCATAATTCGGATATACAGTGGGATTACAAGTGTTACATATGTGAAAGGGATATGCTGAATACACCTCTGTATTTGGGTCCTGTTACATAGCTGGATGTTGGAATACATCTCAAAGTGTATCCGTGTAAGACAACCTGGAACTGTGACGTGATGGGTAAACATGTGACCCCCGTCCTACCCTTAAGCCCCCTTGTCTCTCTCTATATATATTGAACACGGTTAATTCAGCGAAATAAGACTTTCCACATCCATAATAAATTCCGATTTGTACAATTCCGACCATTAGCATGTGTTTTATGAATCTTTTTCAAATAGTGATCATACCAGGTGTTAGTGAAAAGGTGAGCGTGTTAATCCATTACATGTATTTTGAATTTTAAAATATCTATGATTGATGATAGAAGTGACACATTCCGAATTGAGCGAAATTCAATTTGTAAATAGCTTAAAAGCCATGTTAAAGAAACCATATCTGAATTAATTGGAGCCACATTGGCACAGAACCGACGTGAATTTTTAATCTTTCGCGACTGCGATCTTATTATTTACATGTTCACTATCTTTATGAACTGAAACTTACATGTTACGTTCTCGTTTAGTGAAAATTAGAATACGAAGTACAAATTTATATTTTAATTTCTTTTACCTTCAAAATGTTAACTGACCTAGACTTTTCAAAATGAAATGATCAATCAATGTATC